ATCACTACATGTAGAGGATTGGCATCAACCCAACTGCTAAATTTCATCCCCATGGTAATGGTGGCTACATATGAAACACTTGGTGGATAAGAACATTTTTTTATGGGCCATGGTGATCGCATGGAAGGCGTGGGAGAGGTAGAACAGAGAGATTCACAATGATGAGGTGATTGGTGCCGACAAACTACCTAGTTGGTGTAGCATTATCTGGTAACCTTCAAGCCCAATCAAATCAAATCAAATCAGGCCAAATCTTAGTCTTCAACGAGTTCATCTGATGGAGTGGAAGCCACCGGAGATGGGGTTGTTGAAGATCAACTTTGATGTCGCTATACGACGTGGAGAACCAAAATTAGTGGTTGCAGCGGTGGCAAAGAACCATGAAATAATGTGCATTGGATGGAAACTGGTAAAAAATCATGGAAAGCTTAATCCTGTTGAAGGTGAAGCTATGGCTGCTCTCCATGCCATCATGCTTGCATCTATGACAGGATGGAACGAAGTTATTTTCGGGGGTGATTCTCTGCAGGTGGTTCATGCACTTTAATCTGGCGGCGGTGACATGTTACTATTCGGTGCAATTATCGATGAATGCATTTATTTAGAATGGTTCAGGCACTTTAATCGGGTGGCGGTGACATGTTACTATTCGGTGCAATTATCGATGAATGCATTTATTTAGAAAATGTTTTCTCAAACTTTTCTTTCTCATAATTTGTTAAGCGTTCGGGCAACTCTTTATCCCACGTTCGTGTTCATCTTTAATACACTGATACACTAGAAGGACTTTCGCTTCTGTCTAATTTGGCCAATATTGCCTTATAAAATTTTCTCTCATTAAAAAAAAATTATAATTTAAAATATAATTAACTATTTAATTAATTGGTTGGAAATTAAAAGGTTCAAAACAAATATAAGTAAATAGATGATATGCTTGAGAACATTGAAACTAGAGTGTCTAGTAGTGCTGCCGGTCAACTTCTTCTCAGCCGTTCACTTCAGACGAGGTAACTCGAGCCATCTCACAAATGGCTCCAATGAAATCTTCTGGCCCAGATGGCCTCCTGGTTAGTTTTTATACCAAATATTGGCAAATATTAGGTTCTAATGTCTTATCATGCGTTCTCGATTTTCTTAACAATCATAAACTTCCCATAACTTTAAATTTCACATATTTTGTGCTTATCCCAAAGATAAAAAACCCATAAAAAATTACCGACTATTGACCTATTAGCCTATGCAATGTTATTTATAAATTTGGCTCTAAAGTTCTTGCTAATAGGGTTAGTGTAGTCCTTAATGATTTGATCTCGCCTACTCAATCCGCCTTTGTCCTTAGAAGACTCATCACATATAATGTTCCAGTGGTCTACGAGATCAATCACTTTATTAAGATAAACTCTAGCACTAGAACTAATTATATGTCTATTAAATTGGATATTAGTAAGGCATACGATCGGGTTGAATGGCGCTTTCTGGAAAAAAAATGCTTATTCGTCTTGGCCTTCCCTCTGAATTTGTTAATCTTATCATGCTTTGTGTATCCACTGTCTTTCATTCCTTTTTATTCAATGGCTCACAATTCGGATCTCTGCAACCATCTAGAGGACTTCGGCCGGACGACCCTCTTTTCCCCTATTTATTAATTTGTTTTGCAGAAGCGCTTACTGAGATGATAACAAAGACGGTGGATCGTGGTGAGCTGCGTGGAGTCCAGGTGGCCCCCTTGGCTCCGGTGATTTCGAACCTCTGTTTTGCCGATGATACCCTCATATTTGTGGAGGCGACCGAGGCTCATGCAAACATTTTGAAAAATATCCTCGCCACTTTTGCTAGAGTTTCGGGACAGGAGATCAACCACGAAAAATCAACCATGACTTTCAGCCCTCCAACCCCATTTTCAAAAAAAGACTTTATCAACCAGATTCTTGGGTTTCGGGTCGTTGATCACCACGAGAAGCACCTTGGTATGCCGGCAGCTATAGGTAAATCACAAAAGAAGATCTTCTCGTACATTTGTGATCGAATTCGGTCCAAAATTAAATGTTGGGGGGAAAAAACAGTTGTCAAAGGCGGGAAAAAAAATGATCATCAAAGCGGTTCTCCAGGTGATACCTTCCTACGTATGAGATGCTTCCTATTCCCGAATGGCCTGTTAAGTGAAACATAATAGGAGTCTGGCATGGCTTACATGGAAAGATATGTGCAAACCGAAGGCAAATGGTGGTCTTGGCTTTCGAGATATGAGAAGCTTCAACATTGCGATGCTTACAAAACAAGCTTGGCGCTTACAGATTAATCCGGATCACCTTCTTCCCAAAATTCTCAGAATAAAATATTTTCCACACGGAAACTTGCTATCGGCTGAAATTGGTACCCGCTCATCATTAACCTGGTGAAGTATTTGGCGAGTTATTCTGCATCTAAAACGGGGTCTTCGTCGGAGGATTGGTAACAGGCAAGCTGATGGGGTTCGTTGGCCATCATAGAAATATCTCGATTGCATTGTATGCTCTTGGTGTATTTATGTTTTTCCGGTGAAGATGAGGCACCGATAGATAGTGTCTCTTTTTATTGCTCCTCCTTTTCTCCCCTTTTGTTCTGCCCCGTTCAGGTCCTCTTTACCCCCGCCAGACCCTTGCCTTATCTCCCCGTTGTATTGGGGGGCGTGCCCAAAAAAAAAAAGAGGGAGTGGGCTGGGCCCAAAGAAAGAGAGAAAATAGTACATGGTGGGCTTTGGGTTCTTATATTTGGGCCTGGACAAAATAGCCCAGATCATCTACTCCACCCTACTGTGCATCGGTGAAGAATATACGACGTCGAGGTATAGTACAAATGATGTGATATGTATGTTCTTTTCTTTTTCTCTCTTTTTTTTTTTTTTTTTGGACTCGAAAAATTTTGGAGGCTTCCGACTCCTTCTCCTTATCTACTCCCCCAGTTCGTCGCGAGGAATGCGAAGTAATTAATCGTGGCAAATTCATAGTTCGCAATGTTTCCGTTTTTCCGACGTCGTTTTTTAGCCCGTGCAATCTTCCATTTTTGTGCGAGGTCGATTCCGACCTCGGCTTGAGCCCGTACAATCGCCTCTTTCGGATGCGAGATACCTCGGCTTATTCCAGTGCGACCGATACTGACCACACTCCTCTTTCGGATGCGAGATACCTCGACTTACTCCAGTGCGACCGATACTGATCACACTCCTCTTTCGGATGCGAGATACCTCGGCTCATCTAGTGCGACCGATATTGATCACACTCCTCTTTCGGATGCGAGATACCTCGTCTTACTCTAGTGCGACCGATACCGATCGCACTCCTCTTTCGGATTCGAGATACCTCGTCTTACTCCAATTGTGATCGATACCGATGGCACTCTTCTTTCGGATTCGAGATACCTCGTCTTACTCCAGTTGCGATCAATACCGATCGCACTCTTCTTTCGGATGTGAGATACCTCGTCTTTTTGATAACGCGGACAATACCGGCCGCGGTCTTCACGTCGTGCGAGGTCGATTCCGACCTCGTCTTTTCGATAACGCGGCCGATACCGGCCGCGGTCTTCACTTTCATGTGCTGATCTGACCTCGGAATAATACCATTCACCAAGAAGACACATGTATATATTTGAGAATTATGACTTCTCCATATAATTTATAGATATAAATATTACCTCGCAAGGATATTAGGAGAGATGCGAGCTTCATAAGACCGATGCAGGGAGAAAACTGCTAGTTTTGAAAAATCTCTCCTCGAGGTAAGAAAAACGAGCTCAGCACAAACGAGATCGTCAACTACTCGCCTTTGTGTGCGAGAATAACTCTGGTCTTGAGAGCTTTAGGCAGTAAATGCGAGATAAGAGAGAACTACATACTGATACTTTCGGCACATCCAAAATACAGTTCGGCTCGTCTACCGCTGGCAACTGCCGTTCGTGCGGGGCGTCTTAATGGGCGCCCCT